CGTGTGTCGCGCCGCAGCGTGGTGGGCCCAAACCGACGGCATGACACACGAGGCCAAGGTTCCTGACCGTCGTCCTCGCCCCCCTCTCGGACGCCCCGGAGGGAAGAACAGCTGTCAGCCGCCGCCCCCGCTCTTCCCGTGCCAGCTTCGGCCGCTCCGCGAGAGCCCCGCCGCGACAGCACTCCCGCAGACGGCTCCGCCAGCACCTGGCCCGCCACGGTGACGTAGCAGCCCCCCGGCAGGGGCCGAACGGAGGGCCCCGCTGGACGAGGTCGGCTGGCACCCCAGCGGAGCACCGGGCAGATGGAAGCACAAGGGCACCCCTGACCCCACCTGGCCCCTCTCTCGCTCGGGCGTCCTTTCCCCGTGCATGCTCGGTTTCGTGCATTTTAATGTTCGCTCCATGATCCAGGATGCTCCTCGATAGTCTTCGCCGGGAAAAAAGCGCACGTACGAGCGATGCCAAGCTGAGGGGGGAGGGTGCCACGTGGGGGTGGAGTCTAACTGTTGTGGCCCTTGTGCTGGACATCCTTACGATCACGAGCGCATGCATCGGCTCGGGGCCGCATCGGAATCGAACCGTTTGGGATCGTCGATCGGGCTCGGCCACTGCAGGCTGGAGGTTGAGCCGCTTCTTGCCAGATCGGATCGGGATCGGAATCTCGGCTCACCGGCGGCCGTTCGGGAAGACCCGGGCACCTCCGGGACGCCCTGGAGAAGCGCCGCCGCTGGAACGTATCCCGAGACTGGAGAGCCGCTGGGAACTGACGGGAACGCCCGAAAACCTCGACCCTCCAACCGTCGGGCGGGGAGGACCGCGAGCCGGCCCGCAAGTGGGCCCCCGGGGACGCCTCCCGACGAGGCGCGGCGCCTCGATAGCACCCCGAGGCTGGAACGCCGCCGAGAGCCGGCGAAACCGTCCGAACACCTCCAGCCTCGCACCTCCACGTCCGTCCGGGTACCAATGCCGCTGCTCCCTGGACCTCTCCTGGGGTGCATTCTGGCCAGGACTTCGAGGCGAATCCAGGGGGGGGGGGGGGCAACGAGAGCCCGCCCCGAAGGACCCCAAATGAGAAAACGAGGGAAGGGCAGCGGCATCAGTAGCTTCTCTTCCTCCGAGGATCGCATCGGGCCGGGAGCCGCCCCGAAGCTGGCTCAGCAGGGTGGCCAGGCGTCCGCGCAATGTCGCCACCCCGAGCCCCTCGAGTACTCGACACGCGGGCTCCCACAGCCCCAGCGGCAACGCCCGGCTCGCGGCCCACTCCGCCTTCGGGGCGGCCTCGTGCACGCTGACCTGCCAGCCTGCACGGCTCCTCCTCCGCTCCACCCTCTTTTATGACGTCGTCGTGCTCCTCCGAACCCCAGCGTTCCGAGGTTCGCGGCTTTCGGGCGTTTTCGGAGGCCTTTCCAGCCTCGGGAGGCCTTCCAGCAGCAGCGCCTCGCCGAGAGCGTTCTGGGGGTGCCCAGGTCGTCCCGAACGACCGCCGGTGAGCCGAGGCATGACCCGAAAGCCACTTATGCTCCTCCTGCCCCTCCCTCGGCCCTCCTCTTCCTACCTGCTCGCCTCGCTCGTGCCTCCGCCCCCCTTCCTCCCTCACCCCTCCTCCTGCTCCCGCTTCCGCCTGCTGGTTACCCCTCTGCCCCCTCCCTGTACGTCATGCCTGTCCTCCTCCTCCACCTCCTCCATCTCTTACCCTGACAGCCTCTCCTCGACACACCACCAGAAGTGTCGGCAGAGCGGTCCTGGAGTTTTGTCTGAGGCACCCTCGCCAAGTACGATCCGGAAGCTGAACCATGTAAGCCGTGGCACGGGTGAAGGGCGGTAGCTCTTCAGGATGCGGCTCTCGCCTTGGCGCCACGCGCGTGCGTCTGAACAACTTCCAACAGCTGCACTGACAGACGGCGGGGACTCTTCAAGATTCAGCTACATGCAGGAGTGACCCTAGGCAAGAGTTGAAGGGGCCCCGGGACACACAAATAAATACACACAAACAAAAACATTCCCTATATCTATCTTCGGGGTTTCTATCTTCCCCCCCACACTTCCCGTATTCTCCTGTATTGTATGGGAAATGTGTCGGTGTGTGTTTTTTTCACTCATGAAGAGTGGCATCTGGTGCGCGACTTGCGGGGAGCCGCGAGGGGCCCAAGCCCAATACCGCAGGACGCCACTGTCGCTTCGCGCGCGCCCGACGACCGGAGGACCCCTGTGGGCCCGCACCAATAGAGGCCTCCTAGATGGGGTCCGAGTAGATGGGGTCGAAGGATCGCGCCGCATCGCCGATGCATCGGCGATGCATCGTCGACGTCGGCGATGCATCGGCGACATCGGCGTGGACAAAAACCGGGCTCCGCACGTTGACCCCTCACGTTCCTTTGTTAAAAACAGGATGCTGATCACTGACCTCCAATCACTGAAGAAGAAATATTGCTGACCTCCCATCACTGAAGAATAAATATTGCTGATGCCCCCATCCGGTAACATATGTGTGCTTTAAATCGAAGTGCCCCCCCCCCGGGGCTCGCACCCAGCTGCTTTATCCGGGGAAGTCTTCCTCGAACTGTGCCCCTGGCCCCCGGCTTACATCAACAACAACAACAACAATCATTTTGAGACTGTTCACTCTCATCTGCTCGAGTGTCCGTTAACGCGTATTTCCCAAACCCTCGATATCCGCCCTCTTCGTCTTCGATCGTACCCCTTTTGGGGGGTATACCTTTCTTCCCTGCAGGCCTGGGCCCCGGCAAGCGGCGGGGCGGCCGCGGACCGTCGGCCTGGCCAGCGGCAGCGCGGATCCGCGGCAACCCGACCCCAAGAGTGACGGACAGGGGATCGACCACGACGACGACGACGAAGACGTCGACGACGACGACGACGGCGACGACGACGACGACGACAACGACGACGAGCGAAAGCGAGAACGAGAGAGAGAACGACAGCAGGGCCACGAAGGGCACGAAGTAGGCCACGAAGAGCGACAGCGGGGACACGAAGGGAATGCGTATGGGGCCACAAAGAGCGCGAACGAGCGAGACCACGAAGGGAAGATAATGCGGGGCCACAGAGGGTAACGACGGGGCCACTGAGGGTTGCGACAGGGCCACGTAGGGCAGCGAGGGTGCCGCAAAGGGCGACAGCGGGGCCACGAAGGGCATGCACATGGGGCCACGACGGGCGCGAACGAGCGGGGGCCACGAAGGTCATACGTATATCGGGCCGCGGAGGACAATGACGGGGCCACTAAGGGCAGCAACGGGGCCACGAAGGGCAGCGAGGGGGCCGCAAAGGGCGACAGCGGGGCCACGAAGGGCATGCATATGGGGCCACGACGGGCGCGAACGAGCGGGGGCCACGAAGGGCATACGTATGTGGGGCCACGAAGGGCGGCGAGGGGGCAATGAAGGCTGCAACGGGGCCACGAAGGGCAGCGAGGGGGCCACGAAGGGCTTTCACGGAGCCACGAAGGGCAGCGAGGGGGCCACGAAGGGCTGCAACAGAGCCACGAAGGGCAGCGAGGGGGCCACGAAGGGCTGTAACAGAGCCACGAAGGGCAGCGAGGGGGCCGCGAAGGGCTGCAACGGGGCAACGAAAGGCTGCAACGGGGCCACGAAGGGCAGCGACGGGGCAACGAAAGGCTGCAACAGGGCCAGGAAGGGCAGCGAGGGGGCCGCGAAGGGCTGCAACGGGGCCACGAAGGGCAGCGAGATCCCGATTCCTAAATAAGCTGTGAGGGAGTTCCAAGCGTGAGCGCGACTCCTGGGTGCCTGAGTGTCGGGAGCGCGGCGCCCGAGTAGATTGCAGGGCATTCCAACGCAAGCGCTCGATTCTTTAGTACATTGCTAGCAAGTCTGCAGCGAAAGCGCGACTCCACAGCGCCGAGAGGGCGATCCGTCAATTCAGTGCAAGGAGGTCCCAAGCGAGAGCGCGATTCCTGAGTAAAGTGCGAGGAGGTCTCAGGCGGGAGCGGGGGTCCTGGCTAAATTGTGAAGAAAGTTTCAACGGAAACCATTGTTATTGTAACCCGTTGCCAGCAACATAGTTTGAGCCCCGTGCCTCTCCCTGGTAAAAAAACAGGGTGCGAGCCCCGGAGGAAACACTTCAGTTGAAAAAACACAATGGTCACCGGAGGGGGGATCAACAACCACCTGCAGTAGTGCAAGTTCAAAAAAAAACGCCAGCAGCAACAACAACAACTACTACAACAACAACAACTACAACAACAACAGCCACCACCACAACAACAATAATAACAACAACAATATCTAGAATAACAACAACAACAACAACAGCAACAACAACAACAACAGCCACAACAACAACCACAACCACAACAGCAGCAGCAGCAACAACACCAACAACATCAACACCAATACCAATGCCAACAACAACAACAACAACAACAACAACAACGCAACAACGACAACAGCAATCCGCACCGCGGAACCTCACTTCAATCATGCGACCAGGGACAACGAATTACCGTTCGGCCTCCCCACTCTGACCGATGCTCCCCGGACCTCTCCCAGGGCGCCTTCTGACCAGGAACTCTGGGCGCACGCAGCCGTGGCGACGAGAGAATGGTGGCGGCATGGATGGCTTTCATCCTCGGATTCTTGCGTTCCTCCGTCCTCCTCGCCTCACGCCAGCACTCCGACCCCGACGAAGCGGTGTAGGCTCATCATAGCTGGCGCCTCCAACGCAGCCAGGCAGCATCACAACTCCCATGAGGAGAAAGACAAGGACGAGGCGGAGGACGAGTGGAAGGGAGGGGGGGGAGGAGGAGGAGGAGGAGGAGGAGGAGGAGGAGGAGCGCCCGTACCTCCCAGAGTCAGGCACGCCTACCCGCGCGGGCATGGGGGGAGGAAGGTGGAGGAGGAAGAGGCGCGCCCGGGCAGGCTCGGACGGGAGCCGCCCGTCACACCCGGGTCCGGCCGACTGGCCGACGATGTAGGTCTTGATGTAGAGGTGGGCAGCGCGCGCCGGGCCTGCGCGGGCAGCGGCGGGACCTGGACGCGCTGGGCCGCGGCGCGGGCCAAGGCCTCGGCCACCTCCGGCGGCGGCTGTATCGGGCCGGGCCGGTGGCGGAGCAGGTTGTACGTGTGGTACACCGCAGCCAGCCGCGCCACCGTTCGGGGAAGCCCGTTCTCGCCCTGTGGCTCTTCGTCGTAGTCCGCCGATGCACCGAGGCCGAGACGATGCAGGGGGCACGCGTGCGCGATGGCACGCGTGGCCACACAGACGCTCCACCACGCCCCGCGGCAGCTGGACAGGTAGTGGGAGATTTCGTCTGCATGTCCTTCGCACCCCCATCTGCAGGGCAGCCGGGGCTGGCCGACGTGCATGCGGTGCGACGTCGGCCATCCTCCCGCTAGCGTCCGGTACGCGGCCCAGCACGTGCCAGGAGCTGCGCAGGCCAGCTGTCGCCGGAGCACATCCCAGCGATGCTGCAAATCGCTCGGGAGGGGGCGGCGGGGCCACCACGCGCGCAGCCGGCGCCCGATGGTCATGTGAAACGCCTCGGGGTGCAAGTGCTGGGTGGCCACGCGCGCGTGGGTTCGCTGCACGCGGGCGCGGCGGCCCGCAGCAGCAGACTGGCGGACCTCATCCTTCGCCGCGGCATTGCCCGCTGCAAGCGCATGCCGGCGCCGCTGGCCAAGCCGCTTGCTGGGTGCGGTAACCGCGGCCTCGGTGACCGAGAGCATGTACTGGACCATCGATTGGGTCCGCGTCCAGACAGGGGCGGCCCAGCGACCCTCCAGGACGGCACGGGCCGGGAGCATATCGAAGGCGCGTTCCTGCCACTCCGCCGCGAAGTGACGCCACCCTTTGAGAGTGACCTCAGCTGTCCTCCAAGCAGCAGCCCAAGCTGCAGGCAGCAGCGCCTTCAACGCGGGCCCGGGCGCCCACTCCCCCATGCTCAGCAGGTCGTTCAGAGCGAAGCTCTTGGGGGGCGCCTTCAAGATGCGATGCAACGTGTCCAACTCGCCTTTGATGAGGTCCTCGGGCAAAGGCAGGAGCTGGGCCAGGTAGCTGAGGACAGAGACAACTGAACCATTGTACAGTGTGATCAATTCCGCAGTCGGGACCGGCACGGTCTGGAGCACGGCCGTGCGCTGCTTGTACTTCGTGGCGGCAGGGTGCCATGAATCTGCGAGGTCTGACCCTGGGCCCAGCACGAACCCGAGGTACTTGACCTTAGAGGCTATGTCGAAATCAGCCCAATCAGGGACGAGTTCTCTGAGAGCTGCGCGGATGGCCTGGAGCGTGGCTGGCAGGTCAGCGGCGTCCAGCCACAGCGGCA